TTTGGGAAAATTTTCCTCACTATTGGTAGTGGAGTCCTCTTGTTTGCTATTTCCTGCGGTATTTCTAGTTTGCAATATTGGTTTTATCTTATCTTTGACTACACTTGTTTCCCTACTATGGCTCCTGTCCCATGAGGTCATTTATATGTATTCCTTCCTGCGTATAATTCCCGACTACCTGGACAAAATTCCAGCTTCACCATTACTGTCCTCCCAGGACAGCATCTCCAGCTTCCCCATTACTGTCTCCCAGGACAGCATCTCCAGCTTCAGCATTACTGTCTCCCAGGACAGCACCTCCAGCTTCACCATTACTGTCTCCCAGGACAGCACCTCCACTTACCCCCCATTACTGTCCCCCCAGGACAGCACCTCCAGCTTCACCATTACTGTCTCCCAGGACAGCACTATCAGCCACCCATTTACTGACTACCAGGACATCATCTCCAGCCTTACAGTTTCTGACTACATGGCCAGTATCAAGGGCAGTACCATTCAGCCCAGACTATAATAAACATATAAAGTTAGTATAATAAAGTTTATGTTAGTGAGAGATGGTGTGCGGAGAGTCAAGTTAGCGCAGCATCACTATAATAAACATATAAAGTTAGTATAATAAAGTTTATGTTAGTGAGAGATGGTGTGCGGAGCGTCAAGTTAGCGCAGCATCACTATAATAAACAGTGTGTGGCAGCAGTGACGTCAGTATCATCATGTCCAGCAGTGATGGCGCACACTCGCTGAGGAGACACGCTCTCAAGTCTCCAAAGAAATCCAAAAAAGGCGATGATAGGAGCTCCAGATCGCCCAATCTAAGTGTCCACACCAAGAACTTCTACATAGCCTCCTATCCTGTAGTTTTAGTGTTCAATCTCCTTCGTTCAGTGCTATATCACATATTCCTATTATTGAAAACGTTGTTTCGAGCTGGCAGTTATTTAGCCCAGAGGACAGAAGCTCCAGTTGCAACAACCACTCTTATAACAGAGCTGGATAGTGTGGGGATAGGTGGAGGAGGGTCAGGACAGATAGAGGAAGGTATACAGGTAGACCTGTGTATACCAGATATGCCGCCCAAGACAGCAGGTAACCCGGGTCCAGGAGACCCGTTGTTGGCCAGACAGAAACATCATCATCGTAAAGCTTTTGAATATATCTCTAAGGCTCTTAAGATTGATGAGGAGAATGAAGGTAAGGCATTAGTAATTTATTGTTCTCATGTTACTGTTCACCTCTGTTGTTCCACTCACCTTGTACCACTCACTTCTTACCACTCACCTTGTACCACTCACTTCTTACCACTCACCTTGTACCACTCACTTCTTACCACTCACCTTGTACCACTCACTTCTTACCACTCACCTTTACCACTCACCTCTTAAACCCCTCACCCTACCTTTTACCACTCACTTCTTCCACCACCCTTTTACCACCACTTCTTACCACTCACCTTTACCACTCACTTCTTACCCACTCCCTTGTTTCCACTCACTTCTTACCACTCACCTTTTACCACTCACTTCTACCACTAACCCACACTTCTTACCACTACCTTTAACCACTTCTTATCATCACCCTTTTACCCCTCACTTCTTACCACTCACCTTTACCACTCACTTCTTACACTCACCTTGTACCAACCACTTCTTACCACTCACCTTGTACCACTCACTTTTTACCACTCACCTTGTACCACTCACTTCTTACCATACCTTGACCCCTCACCCTTTTACCACTCACTTTTTACCACTCACCTTGTACCACTCACTTCTTACCACTCACCTTGTACCACTCACCTTGTACCACTCACTTCTTACCACTCACCTTGTACCACTCACTTCTTACCACTCACCTTGTACCACTCACTTCTTACCACTCACCTTTACCACTTCTTATCACTCACCTTGTACCACTCACTTCTTTCCACTCACCTTATACCACTCACTTCTTACCACTCACCTTGTACCACTCACTTCTTACCACTCACCTTGTACCACTCACTTCTTACCACTCACCTTGTACCACTCACTTCTTACCACTCACCTTGTACCACTCACTTCTTACCACTCACCTTGTACATCACTCTTACCCCTACCTTTACCACTCACCTTGTACCACTCACTTCTTACCACTCACCTTATAAACCCCCTTGTACCATCACTCTTACCCCTCACCTTGTACCACTCACTTCTTACCACTCACCTTATACCACTCACCTTGTACCACTCACTTCTTTTTCACTCCCCCTTATACCACTCACCTTGTACCACTCACCTTTTACCACTCACCTTGTACCACTCACCTTGTACCACTCACTTCTTACCACTCACCTTATACCACTCACCTTGTACCACTCACTTCTTATCACTCACCTTGTACCACTCACCTTGTACCACTCACTTCTTACCACTCACCTTGTACCACTCACTTCTACCACTTACCTTGTACCACTCATTCTTACCATCACCTCTTACCACTCACCCCTTACCACTCACTTCTTACCACTCACCTTTTACCACCACTTTTACCCACCTTGTACCACTCACTTCTTACCACTCACCTTGTACCACTCACCTCTTACCACTCACCTCTTACCACTCACTTCTTACCACTCACCTTTTACCACTCACCTTGTACCACTCACTTCTTACCACTCACCTTGTACCACTCCCCTTCTTACCACTCCCTCTACACTCACTCTTACCACTCACTTTTTTACCACTCACCTCTTACACCCACCCCTTACCACTCACCCCTTACCACTCCTTCTTACCACTCACCTCTTACCCTCACCTCTACCCCTCGCCTCTTACCACTCACTTCTTACCACTCACCTTGTACCACTCACTTCTTACCACTCACCTTGTACCACTCACTTCTTACCACTCACCTCTTACCCCTACCTTGTACCATCACTTCTTTCACTCACTTCTCCACTCACTTCTTACCACTCACCTTGTACCACTCACTTCTTACCACTCACCTTGTACCACTCACTTCTTACCACTCACCTTGTACCACTCACCTCTTACCACTCACCTCTTACCACTCACTTCTTACCACTCACCTCTTACCACTCACTTCTTACCACTCACCTTGTACCACTCACTTCTTACCACTCACCTCTTACCACTCACTTCTTACCCCTCACCTTGTACCACTCACTTCTTACCACTCACCTCTTACCACTCACTTCTTACCACTCACTTCTTACCACTCACCTCTTACCACTCACTTCTTACCACTCACCTTGTACCACTCACCTTGTACCACTCACTTCTTACCACTCACCTCTTACCACTCACTTCTTACCGCTCACTTCTTACCACTCACCTTTTACCACTCACCTCTTACCACTCACCTCTTACACTCACCTCTTACATCCTTCTTACCACTCACCTCTTACCACTCACTTCTTACCACTCACCTCTTACCACTCACCTCTTACCACTCACTTTTTACCACTCACCTCTTACCACTCACTTCTTACACTCACCTTGTACATCACTTCTTCCACTCACCTCTTACCACTCACTTTTACCGCTCACCTCTTACCACTCACTTCTTACACTCCCTCTTACCACTCACTTCTTACCACTCACCTCTTACCACTCACTTTACCCCTCACCTTGTACCACTCACCTCTTAACACTCACCTCTTACCCCTCACTTTACCACTCACCTCTTACCACTCACCTCTTACCACTCACTTCTTACCACTCACCTTGTACCACTTCCCCTTCTTAACACTCACCTTGTACCACTCACTTCTTACCACTCACCTTGACCACTAACCTCTTACCACTCACCTTGTACCACTCACCTCTTACCACTCACCCTTACCACTCACCCTTTTACCACTCACCTTGTAACCACTCCCTCTTACCACTCACCTTCTTTCCACTCCCCCTGTACCACTCACCTCTTACCACTCACCTCTTACCACCACCTCTTATCACTCACCTTTTTACCACTCACCTCTTACCACTCACCTCTTACCACTCACTTCTTACCACTCACTCTTACCACCACCTCTTACCACTCACCCTCTTACCACCCCTCTATCCCCTTTCCCCTTTTACCACTCACCTTTACCACTCACTTCTTACCACTCACCTTGTACCACTCACTTCTTTAACACTCACCTTGTACCACTCACTTCTTACCACCACCTTTACCACTCACTTCTTAACACTCACCTTGTACCACTCACCTCTTACCACTCACTTCTTACCACTCACCTTGACCCCTCACCCCTTACCACTCACCTCTTACCACTCACCTTTATCACTCACCTCTTACCACTCACCTCTTACCACTCACCTCTTACACTCACTTCTACCACTCACTCTTACCACTCACCTCTTACCACTCACTTCTTACCACTCACCCTTTTTACCACTCACCTCTTACCCCTCACCTCTTACCCCTCACCTCTTACCACTCACCTCTTATCACTCACCCTTTTACCCCTCACCCCTTACCACTCACTTCTTACACCACCTCTTACCCCTCACTTACCACTCACCTCTTACCACTCACCTCTTACCATCACCTCTTACCACTCACCTTTACCACTCACCTCTTATCACTCCCTCTTACACTCACCTTGTACCACTCACCTCTTACCACTCACCTCTTACCACTCACCTCTTACCACTCACTTCTTACCACTCACCTCTTACCACTCACCTCTTACCACTCACCTCTTACCACTCACCTCTTACCACTCACCTCTACCACTCACCTCTTACCTCACCCCTACCATCCCTCTACCACTCACCTCTTACCACTCACCTCTTACTGCTCACCTCGTACCACTCACCTCTTACCACTCACCTCTTACCACTCACCTTGTACCACTCACCTTGTACCACTCACCTTCTACCACTCACCTTGTACCACTCACCTTGTACCACTCACCTCTTACCACTCACCTCTTACCACTCACCTCTTACCACTCACCTTGTACCACTCACCTCTTACCACTCACCTCTTACCCCCTCACCCTTACCATCCCTCTTACCACTCACCTCTTACCACTCACCTCTTACCACTCACCTCTTACCACTCACCTCTTACCACTCACCTCTTACCACTCACCTCTTACCACTCACCTCTTACCGCTCACCTCTTACCAAATCACCTCTTACCACTCACCTCTTACCACTCACCTCTTACCACTCACCTCTTACCACTCACCTCTTACCACTCACCTCTTACCACTCACCTCTTACCACTCACCTCTTACCACTCACCCCTTACCACTCACTCACTCCTCTACCCCTACCACTCCCTCTTACCACTCACCTCTTACCACTCACCTCTTACCACTCACCTCTTACCACTCACCTCTTACCACTCACCTCTTACCACTCACCTCTTACCACTCACCTCTTACCCTCACCTCTTACCCCTCACCCTTACCACTCACCTCTTACCCCTCACTCTTACCACTCACCTCGTACCACTCACCTCTTACCACTCACCTCTTACCGCTCACCTCTTACCACTCACCTTGTACCACTCACCTTGTACCACTCACCTCTTACCACTCACCTTGTACCACTCACCTTGTACCACTCACCTTGTACCACTCACCTTTACCACTCACCCTTAAACCGGGCCCCCTCTTCCACTCACCTCTTTCCACTCACCCCTTACCACTCCCTTTCCACTCACCTGTACCACTCACCTCTTACCACTCACCTTGTACCACTCACCTTGTACCACCACCTTTACCACTCACCACCCCCTTACCACTCACCTCTTACCACTCACCCTTGACCCTCACCCTTAAATCTTACCACTCACCTCTACCACTCACCTCTTACCAATCACCTCGTACCACTCACCTGTACCACTCACCCGTACCACTCACCTCGTACCCAAATCCCTTGTACCACCCCTTGTACCACTCACCTGTACCACTCACCTCTTTTCCACTCAACCTCTTACACTCACCTCTTTCCACTCACCTCTTACCACTCACCTCTTACCACTCACCTTGTAACCCCTCACTGTTTCCAACCCCCACCCGTACCACCACGGGCTTTCCAAAATGACCTTGACCAAAACACTTTTAATTTGTAGGCGCCATTTAACACAACCTTAAAATCGAACGGGACGGTAAGCTGTTCCAATATACAAAAGATTAAACGAAAAAAAAATGTAAGCTCTTAGTAACATAA